GGTCACTCCACCAGGAAAAAAAAAAAAAAAAAAAAAAAACACAACCTGCTGAGGTGCATGCTGAAGGCAAAGGAAATACAGAAAGGGTGGCAGAGGAAGGTAGTCATCAATACCAGCTATGACCACATGACCAGCTGCAGAAATGAGGACTGTAATTATCATGAGTATTTCCTCCCTCTTTTGTTAAAAGCATGTTTATGCATGTATACATTTGTACTAAGAAAATATTTTGATTTTATTTCCTCTTTCCTTTATCATGTGAGATATTTATTGACTTCATATCAGTATTTAAATATTGTTAACTTTATGTAATAGCATTTAGGAATTGGTGCATTTCCAGTTGTATGAAGGAGAGCTGTATTATATTACGTGTAATTAGGACTTTATTATTTTCTTTATTTGAAGACTATGTATTATCTGAGGAGATGTGTATGGGTTCAAGTTGTTAAGGAGTTGAATTCTGAGTGTCAACTTGATTGGATTGAAGGATGCAAAGTACTGATCCTGGTTGTGTCTGTGAGAGTGTTGCCAAAGTAGATTAAATTTCAGTCAGTGGGCTGGGAAAGCCAGACCCACCCTTAATCTGGGTAGGCACCTTATAATCAGCTACCAGTGCAGCCAGGATATAAAGCAGGCAGAAAAAATAAAATGTGAAAAGGCTAGGCTGGCTTAGCATCCCAGCCTACAACTTTCTCCCATGCAGGATGCTTCCTGTCCTCGAACATCAGACTCCAAGTTCTTCAGCTTTGGGACTCAGACTGGCTTCCTTGCTGCTCAACTTCCAGATGGCCAATTGTAGGACCTTGTAATCATGTGAGTTAATATTACTTAATGAACTCCCCTTGATGTGTATATCCTCTTAGTTCTGTCCCTCTAGAGAACCCTGACTGATACAGGTGTTGAAGACAAAGCTAACAAAATCTTTTTCAATCCATGTTCAACTACCTGAGTAGAGTCTTAAAGTAAGGTAATGTGTAATTGTAAAATTATTAAATTAAGCAATTTTACAAAATAGATTAAGAGCCTTACAATGTCCAAGACCAACCACTAATAAGAAATTGTAATAGAAAAAAAGATCCTACAAATAAAATAGAAAAATATAATGATAATATCCAGGAATAAGGCTAGCAAAACATTGAAGAATAAACATAAAAAAAATTTATACTCTCATGAACAAAGTAAGATTCAAACAATAATGCAAACTATATTCTTAGTCTCAATATTATATGTATGTTAAATATGCATTTATTTTCATGCATATTATTTATATAGTAATTTATTTTATTTATTATGTATTAATTATTTACATCTACAGATTCACTCTGATTCCAGCAAAAACGTAACAATAATTTTGCTATTTTGTACTTGACAAGCCCCATTCTAAACTTCATATGAAGAAACAAACTTATAATGGTGATGAGAGAAAATCTGAAAGAGCACTTAGGAGTACAAACCCTGCGATATATAACAGTGAATTTAAAATCATGAGAATTAACCCACAATTAAAGTTGAAGACCTCAACACCCCACTGTCATCAGTTGACAGAACTGCTAAACAGAAAATAACATACAGAAGAACTGATAAACACTGTCAATCAACAGGATCTAACTGACATTTGTAGAACACAATACTTACAACACTAAATGACTGCAGAATAGGCATTCTTTTCAAGTAATTATGCAACATACACCAAGATACACTATTTTTGAGTTATGAAACAAGCCTTAACAAATTTTAAATAATTGAAATCACGCAGAATATGTTCTCTGATCAGAACAGGAAAAAACTAGAATAAATAACAGAAGAGTAACATCTTCAAAGAAGTGAAACTTAAACAACATACTAGCCTCAATGTCACAAAGGACATTTATAAAATCTTTCAACTAACATCATACATAATGGTGAAAAACTGTTTCTCCCTTAAGATTGGGAACAAAACAAGGTTATCCACCCTAATCATTCTTATTCAATAATACTGGAAATTTTAACTACTGCAATAAGGCAAGAACCAAAAAGACTTGGAAGTTAGAAAGGAAAAAATAAAACAGCGTCATTTGCAAATGACATGATTGACTACGTAGAAAAATCTAAAAATCTACCAAAAAAAAAAAAAAAAAAAAAAAAACCTCTTGGTGCTACTAAATAAATTCAGTAAGGTCAAAAAAATACAAGATTAGCCACAAAAAAAATTAGTTTCATTTATGTATGTTGGCAACAAACAAGTGGAAATCAAATTTTAAAACACAACACTATTAATAATTGCTTCAAAGAAAATAGGTATTAATTTAACAAAATATATACATAACATATACACTAAAAGTTATAAAATGCTGATGAAATAAATTCAAGAAAACCTACATACTTGGCAAGATCTATTATGTTTATGGACTAGAAGACTCAGCATAAGAAAAATTTCATTTTCTCTGACATTGATCTATAGGTTTAACAAAATTACTATCAATATCTCTGAAAGGGTTTTTGGTAGACATAGATAAGATTGTTCTAAAATTCGTGTGAAAGACTTTAGAAGAGCCAAACACAGTTTTGAAGAATAAGGTGGAAGGAATCACTCCTCCCAGTGTTAAGGGTTGTTATATAGCTATAGTAAATAAGACAGCATGAAATTGCAGAGGAATGGACACATAAAGTGGTGGAACAGAATAGAGAACCGAGAAATAGACCCAAACCAATATGTCCAATTAATATTTGATAAAGGAACAGAAAACTGAATGAGAAGGAATAGTCTTTAAAATGACATTCATAGGCCAAAAAAAAATGACCCTCAACCTAAGTCATACAACTTACACAAAAAGTAACTCAAAATGAATTATAGAGTTAAATATAAAAGTAAAATCATAAAACTTCTAGAAGAAAAGGTAGAATAAAATGTTAAGGACCTACAGCTAGGAAAGAAATCTTAAAGTTGATACTAAAAACACAATTTACAAAAGAAAAAATTGACAACTTAGACCTCATAAAAATTTAAAACTTTTGTTTTGCAAAGGATATTGTTAAAAGAATAAAAATACAAGCTCCAGACTGGGAAAGAATATTTGTGAAACATATATCCAACAAAATACAAGCATCTAGAATATATTTTTAAAACTCCAAAACTCAATATGAGAAAAATGAAAAATCCAATTTAAAAATGGGCAAAAGACATGATATAAACAACAAGCACAGGCAACAAAAGCAAACGTAGATGAATGAGATTACATCACACTAAAACTTCTGCACACCCAAAGAAACAACAGAGTGAAAAACAACATATGGTATGACAAAAATATCTGTGAATCATTCATCTGATAAGGGATTAATATCTAACATATATAAGGAACTCAAACAATGAAATAGTAAGAAAACAAGTAACTCAATTAAAACAATGAACAAATAATCTGAATAGACATTTCTCAAAAGAAGATATACAAATGGCCAAGAGGTATATTACAAGTGCTCAAAATCATTAATCATCACAAAAACGCAAATTAAAACCATAATGAGATATCATTTCACACCTGTTAGAATGGCTATTATCAAAAAGATGAAAGATAACAAGTGTTGGTGAGCATGTGGAGACAAAAGAAGCCCTCTACACTGTTGGTGGGAAAATGAATTAGTACAGCCATTATAGAAAACAGTGTGGAAGTTCCTCAGAAAATTAAAAATAGAACTACCATATTATTCGGCAATTCCACTACTGGGTATATATCCAAAGAAAATAAAATCGGCACATTGAGGTATTACCTGCACTCCCATGTTCTTTGCAGCTTTATCTATAATATCCAAGATATGAAATTAACCTAAGTGTCCACCAATGGATGAGTAGATTTTAAAATTTGGTATAAATATACAATAGAATACCATTCAGCCTTTAGAAAGAAGGAATCACTATCATTTGCAACAAGATGAACCTGGAAGACATTTATTAAGTGAAATAAGCCAGGCACAGAAAGACAAATACTGCATGATCTACTTATATGTGAACTCTAAAAGAGTTAAACTTGTAGAATTGGAGAGCATAATGATGATTACCAGGGACTGGGTGTGGAGGAGGAGAAAGTTGGGGAGAATAAGTTCAAGAGTTCTATTACACAGCATGATGACTATAGTTAATAACAACATATTATGTTTTTGAAAATTGCTAAGAGAATAGATTTTAAGTGTTCTCACCACAAAAAGCAGGTGAGATAATGCATATGTTAATTACCTTGATTTAGTCATCCTTCAGTGTACACATATTTCAAAACAAGTTGTATGCAATAAATATATACAATTTTTATTTGTTAATTAAAATACATAAATTCTCACAATTTTTTAAACGGGCAAAAAACATGAAAAGACATTTCTTTGAAGAGGCTATACAAATAGAAATTAAGCGCATGAAAATGCATGCAACACAGTTAGCTACTAGAGAAATATCAAAACCACAGTGAGCTATCATCACACACCAATCAAAATGGCTATGTTTTAAAAAAACACAAAAATAGTGGTAATAAAATGCTGGTAAAAATGTGGAGAAATAGTATTACTTACAGTATCATTGCAAATGGGAATGTAAAATGGTACATTCACTGTGGGAACCAGTTTGGTAGTTTTTAAAAAAGTATATATATTAAAAATGGGGTTACCATATAATACAGCACCTGGACTCTTGTCCCGACCCGCGGGATCGTCAATGTAGGCCCTAGAAGAGGGAGTGGGAACTCGGGGGGACAAGAGACACGAGAAATGGAGACAAGACAGTATCCTGATCAAGTCTCGTTTATTGGTGGCAGTGTAATGCCTTATATAGACTGGCGGGGTGGAGGTTGGGCCAAGGCGATGATGGTGGCCCTGCAGTGGGTGTGGCCAGGTAGGTATTGGTTTCTTCGGTCGGACGTCATGTTGCGCCTGCGCCGTCGGTTGGTAATTTTCCCGGGCGCGGGATGGCGCCTGCGCTGTAAGTTGATCATTTTCCCGGGCGCGGGAAAATGGGTGATGAAGAACCCGGAAGAGCACCATTTTGTACTGGCGTATGAGACAGCAGAACAAGGAAGAAAGTAAATCTAGGGAGGAGGCATAAAGTGGAAATGTATAGAGTTCAGGTGTCAGTCGTCAGTTATAATCGCTATGGCCGGGCCACGCAGCTCCGGACAGGTCCCCCTTTTTTATTATTTCATGATGAGAGATAGCCCCTCGGGAACTGCGCCTGTCTTAGGTTGGGTCAACTCATCCCCACCTTTTAAGCCCGTCATGGGATTAGGCAGCAGCAAGGGCGGCCCTCCTGTCTTAGGCTCAATTGGGGGTGGTGTCCTCTTACCCGTCATTGACTGTCCAGTTCAGCTCACAGGGAAGGTGATCTTATAAGGGCGGATAAGACTCACCATGTTCAGACATCTCAAGGTGATGATAATGGACCTGTATAGGCTTGGCCTGGAAGGCCTCGATTTGTCGTCTGACGAATGCCATAAGCTTATTAAGGATTATAGGCCCAAGAGTGAGAAAGAGTAGAAGGGTAAGTAAAGGACCTAAAAATGGTAGGAGATAAGGTGGAAGTCCGTGGAGTCCAGTCCAAAGCGGATTGGCAGCCAGGTCATTTCTGCGTTTTTCTAGCTCTTCTTGTAAGGTCTTTATTTTGTCTCTAACGATCCCAGATTTGTTAGCATAAAAGCAACATCTTTCCTGTAAAGCCAAACAGATCCCTCCCTGTTCTGCTGTTAGTAAGTCTAGACCTCTTCTATTTTGGAGAACTACTTCAGCTAATAAGTCTACCTGATCTTGTAGATCTTGTATAGTACTGGATAAGGTTTGTACATCGGAAATTAATTGATTGGATAATTTAGTATATTGGGTTAGTGAGACTCCTAGGCGTGTAGCTCCTGTTGTAAATGCAGTGGTGATTCCCAGTCCGGCCAACAAGGGAATAAATTGTATGGCCCGTTTTGGTCTATATATAAAATGCTCAACAGCAGGGATGGGGATAGGTTCATCTCCAGGGATGATATCAATGTCAGGGAGAAGAGTGGCTAGAACACAAAGCCCTGTCCAATTTGTGGGTAGATAAGTATATGCCATGTTGTTTCCACAGAGGAAAACCGAGCCATTTATAGCACACAAGGGGCTGGTGATATTGATTATGGAGGTACAGTTGTTGAATACAACGTAGCCTAGATCGATTTCTTCAGAGCTATTGTAAGAGGGTGAAAAGAGGCAAGAAGAATTAGAAAACTTTATTGGTTGAACTAAGAGGGGAGAGATAATTGGACAGGAGTTATTGACCAAGGACTCACCTGAGTAATTGACATAGGATAATGAAAAGTTAGGTATAGCGAGAGGAGTAGGGGGACCCATTTTTAAACACAGCCAACAATCGTGGGCAAGGCTTGTATTGGACATTTGGAGTAAGTTGTAAGTGGCATTAAGGATATCAAAAGTTTGAGCATCGATCATAAGGTTATCTCTAACCTTAGGCAGGGCCAAAGGGTGATATTGAATTTCAGGATACAGGGCTTTATGAATTTCTTCTAGTTTTTCCTGAACAGTTTTAATTCTTGTGGTGTCTAATGGACCTCCCCCATCAGAGATGTGGATAGGGGCTGTAGTGCTCCAGCAAACAGGCTGTCCTTTTTGGCCGTTACAAGGAGATTGTACAAGTTTATTGGTGGATCCTAATACTTGTACGTCACTGGTACCTCCAGTTTGTGTTTTTAGTAGTGTAGCTGTATAGTATGTTTTATTGCCTGATTTGCATTGTTGATACGAGGTGTAGCAAGAACTATGTACAGAGGACTGGAAAGAACTACAGGGGCATTCTTGGAGCGGCCCACTAGGGGAGGTGTCTCTTGGGGTTGACTTACATTTCCATAGCTGGTTTGGCATTAAGTAAGCTGTCTTGCCTGAGCAAGTCACTTGGAAGATTCTGTCTGATGGAGGTTCAGATACTTGTCCCCCGCCGCAGTCACAAGGCTGGCCGTGTTGCTTTTGTATTAGTTCTATTGCTCTACGAGGGTCATCAAAACCTGCATAGACTGTCACTATGTTATATAAAATGATTATTTTCCAAAAGAATCTCATGTTGGGCTTCATTTTCTGAAAAACAAAAGGGAAGAAACTTCTCAGGGAGGATTGTTTTCCCTGGATTGACAATGGTTATGATTCATTTGTCTTACCAATCTTTCGGGCAGCCATCTGGCTGCATCATTTTTTTGTGAGAAAATACATACTGAGCCTCTTCCCCAAACTAAAACTGGGTCAGGGCCATGCCACGAATTATCGAGTGGATCTTTCCATTTAACCATTGCAAACTGTTTTTGAGATTCAGGATGCCAGAAACGGTCGGCAGCAGATTTTCCGTAACTGTCCAAATTTTAAAAATTAAGGATAAAGAGGGCATGATTAAGTATGTTTCTGGGGGTACCCTTCACGGGGTACCAGCTCCCCCCTTTTATTTTTTTGATAGTAGTTTTTAATGATAGATGGGCCCTTTCTACTATACCTTGTCCTTGGGGATTGTAGGGAATGCCTGTGATATGTTTAATTTGTAGGGTGTTGCAGAATTGTAAGAAAGTTTTGGCTATGTAACCAGGACCGTTATCTGTCTTAATTTGTTTGGGTATACCTAAGATGGAAAAGCAATGTAATAAATGAGCTATGTCATGTTTGGTGGCCTCTCCTGTCTGGAGAGTTGCAATAATGAACCCACTATAGGTGTCTATGCATACATGAATATATTTTAGTTGGCCAAATTCTGAGTGATGTGTAACATCCATTTGCCAAATTTCGTTGGGGATGAGTCCTCGAGGGTTAACTCCTAGATGAGGAACGGGCAAATAAGTTATGCAGTTGGCACATTGTTTAACTATTTGTCGGGCTTGTTCTCTAGTAATTTTAAACATAAGTCTTAAGGTCTGGGCATTTAAATGATGTACGACATGTGCTTTTTGTGCTTGTTGTAAATTGTCTGTAGTGACTGTGGCTATGGTTTTTGTTGCCATGTCAGCTGTTGAATTACCTTGTACTAAAGGTCCCGGTAATCCTGAATGTGCTCTAATATGTCCAAGGAAAAAGGGAGTAGTCCTTTTTTGAATAAGTTGTTGACATTGTAGAAATAGGTTAGCTGTGTCTGAAATATGTTTAATTTGCGGCACGGTCTCTAAGAGGGGTATTGAATGAGCCAGGTAGGCGCTGTCTGTGTAAATATTAAGTGGCTGACCAGGGAAAGCTGATAATGCTGCAATTATGGCTTGTAATTCGACTAGTTGAGCTGATGTATAAGTGGTTTGGAATTTAACAATTGTATTATTGTAGGTGTAAGCAGCGAGTCCTGTGGAAGATCCATCAGTGAAAATTAGTAATGCGTCATTGAGAGGTTCCTTACTGGTAATATGAGGAAATACAAACGCATGAAGTTTGCAAAATTGAATGAGTTTGTTAGGTGGGTAATGGTTGTCAATTGTGCCAGTGTAAGAAGCGCAAGCAATTGGCCAGGCTTCTGTATTTTGTAACAGCCAATGGATGTGTGATTGAGTGTAGGACTGTATAATGGTAGAGGGTTCTATTCCAAAGTATTTTCTACTGTTTTCTCTTCCCAAGATAATTAGATCAGCTATGGCATCATAATAAGGCAACAAAACCTTTTTGGGGGAGGAGGGCAGGTGTACCCACATAATGGGATTGTTTTGCCAGAATAAACCAGTAGGGGTTATTGCTGTGTTAAAAATAATGAATATTAATGGCTGAGAATAATCAATACTGGTAACAAATTGTGTTGTAATGGCATCTTCTACCCGTTGGAGTGCCGTTAATGCTTCTTTGGAAATGGACCTGGGGGATTTTGGATTAGAGTCTCCTTTCAATATATCGAAAAGAGGTTTTAACTCTCCTGTGGTAAGTTTTAGGTATGGTCGAAGCCAATTTATGTCTCCCAGTAATTTTTGGAAATCATTTAAAGTTTTTAGATGGTCACGGCGTATAACGGCCTTTTGATTAATGATTTTGGGTCCATTAATTTGAAAACCAAGATAGGTATATGGATTTTGTAGTTGTATTTTTTCCGGGGCTGTTTGCAGTCCGGCTGTTGTCAACTCTTGTTTGAGTTGGGCAAAGCACTGTAAGACTTGTTCACCAGTCTGTCCTGCTATTAAAATATCATCCATATAATGTATAATATACATTTGTGTCCATATTTTTCTGACTGGTTCTATAGCAGCGGCTACATATTTTTGACATAAGGTAGGACTATTGGCCATACCCCGAGGTAAGACTTTCCATTGGTAACGTTTCATTGGTTGTTTAAAATTTATAGATGGAAGACTAAAGGCAAACCTTTTCTGATCAGCAGGATGAAGGGGGATTGTAAAGAAGCAATCTTTAAGGTCAATAATGATTTTAAAATATTTTTGAGGAATCGCAACTGGTGAGGGCAGTCCCAGTTGTAAGGCACCCATAAGGACCATAGTGATATTTATGGCTCTTAAATCTTGTAAGAGTCTCCATTTGCCAGACTTTTTCTTAATGACAAAGATAGGTGTATTCCAAGGGGAATTACTTTCTGTAATATGTCCTGCTAGCAGTTGTTCCTGCACTAACTGTTGGGCAGCACTTAGCTTATCATTAAGTAAAGGCCACTGATCAACCCAAACGGGCTCATCTGACTTCCAAGTAATAGGGTCAGCACACTTTTGGGGTGCAGGTATGTCAGTGGCCTGAGCTAAAAATTTCCAAACCCTTTTTTATCAAGTTGTCCTGAGACTGGTATAGGCTGTGGAATACCGTTTTCCTTTTTTCCAAGACCTTTACCAGGAGTGTGTCCCTGAGTTAGCATTTGTGCAGTAACTATATCATTTGGGCTGCACATTATAATTTTCATTTGGGAGAGCAGGTCTCGTCCCCAAAGATTAACAGGTAAGTGAGGGATGATAAATGGCTTAATGAGGCCTGAATTGTTTTCTTTATCTGTCCATGTTAGGTATTTAGAACTTTGTTTAGGATTACTGCTTTGTCCAATTCCTCTCAGGTGAGTTAAAGTCTCTGTGGAAGGCCAATGAGAGGGCCAATCTTCTTGTTTAATGATGGTTACATCGGCCCTTGTGTCTATTAGCCCAGTAAATGCCTTACCATCTAACCATAAGGTTAGAGAGGGTTTTTGATTGGTAATTGGTTGCACCCAATATATATCTGACGATCCAAAACCTTTTGTATTCCTGTTAGAGTGTTGGATATTATTATCTGTTTTAACTAAGGGTAGCAAAACTAACTGTGCTATTCTAACCCCTTGAGGGACAGTAATAATGTTGTTAATAGCTCTGGCCATGATTTTAATTTCTCCTTCATAATCATTATCGATAACTCCAGGGAGGACTTGTAAACCTTTCATGGTGACACTACTTCTTCCCAAGAGTAGCCCAAAAGTGTCAGGTGGTAAAGGCCCATATATTCCTGTATTTAAGGTTTGTGGTCCCATCTCAGGTGTTAATACTGTGTGGGAGGTGGAACTGAGGTCCAGTCCTGCACTTCCTGGGGTTGCTCTACTAAGTTTTGAAATGGATTGTTGCTACTGGCTGGAACAAAGCTGACCGCCCCATATGCTTGTTTTGGGGCCTGGGGCTGGCCCCTCACCCCGTTTCCCTGCTGAGACGATAAAGGATTTCCTTGACTATCAATTTTAGATTTACATTCGTTGGCCCAGTGCTTTCCTCTTTTACACCTTGGGCAAAGGCCTGGAATTTTTGTTTCTGGATTTTTATTTTGATTTTCATGGCAATCTTTTGCAAAGTGTCCTTTTTTACTGCATTTAAAGCACCCCCCTTTATCTTTGCCTTTGTTATTGAGGAAGTCTCTTACTGTTTGACCGCTAAAGGCGGTGGCCATTGCTAGACCCTGTTGATATGAGGGCCCAATATCTGAACAAAGGCGAATATATCCTGTTAAATCTGTTTTCTTTTGATAAGGTCTGATTGCCGCTTGGCAGGCGGGGTTGGCGTTTTCATATGCCAACTGTTTAACATAATCTACACCTGTTTCTGCATTTCCAAAAATTCTACCTGCCGTAGTCATGAGTCTGTGTACAAAATCTGAGAATGGCTCATCCGTTCCTTGTTTGACTGCCGTGAGTGAGGCCCCTGGGTCTCCTTTAACTGGGAGTTTCCTCCAGGCTTTTGTAGCAGCTGCCTGGATTTGTGAAAACAATCCAGGATCATATAGCATTTGGGCTTGAGTGTCTGCATAGTTACCTGAACCGGTTAACATATCAAAATCCCAGCCGTTTCCTGCCTGTTGGTTTCTTTTAGCTGTGTCCCTACAATTTTCAAAAAACTCTGACTTCCAAATTAAATAATCTCCCCCGGAGAGAACTGCCCTAACTAAGGTATTCCAATCTGTAGGGGTGAGCCAGTTATCGGCTACAGATTCCACTATTGCGAGAGTATATGGAGCAGTAGCCCCATATTGAGAAGCAGCAGTTTTTAACTCTTTTATGATAGTGAAATCAAACCCAGTATGATGTCTCCAAGCTTGTCCTTGCCCATCTGTGGTTTCAGTAACTGGGAAGATGTCTTTGGGGGAGGGGTCTTCTCTATGTCGGCTAGCAACTAACCCCCTCTTGGAACATGCTGTCCAGGCCGCTGAGGTGGGCGCAGGGAACCCTCCATAACATCTGGGTTAGGTACCTTTTCATTTCCTGGTTTTAATTTTTGGAGCCTAATTATCAATGATTGATGCAACTCCTCAAGTTTAATTTGTTCTTCTAGTTGAGCAATTTTTTGTTTTAATTCTTCTTTGGGATCTACTACTGCCATAACAGTGGGCGCAGAAGCCCCATTACATGTCCCATTATATGGGGGTGGGCGTGAAGTAAAGGAAGGCCAGTCGGGGTTATGATATTTAGCCGCCTCTTCCTCTAAATCATCCCAATTTATGTTTAATTGATCAGGCTTATTAGTTTCTTCCTCTTTTTGAGGTGTTTGTAAAACCGGATATTTTTTCTGTTTGTTTTTGTGTAACATTTCTTTATCTGTTACAGAAGGAGACTTGACTCCCTCATCATCACTCTCAAGGGAAATGAGATCCTCCTCCGTATCTTGCGGAGGCTTTGTGAGGTTAGAGCGAGAACTAACCTTTAGAATATGTTCTGTTTGAGCGACCGTGGCCATGACTTGTGGATCAGCTTCCTTTTTATCTATCAAATCTTTAATGAGATTCCAATAAGAGAAGGCGGTCACAGGAATTTTTTCTGGCCCAAAAGCATTATAATAATCTTGAAAACAATCTCCTACTCTACGCCATCTTTTAATATCAATAGTTCCTTCCTGTGGGAACCAAGGGCAAGTGTCTTTTACAAAATCAAAAAATTTAAACAAATCATTACTTTTAACCTTTACTCCTCGTATCTTTAAAGCCTCTTTTAATTGTCCTACATAGATTTGATGTTGACTTAATTCTTGTCCCATTTCAGACGCGTCATTTACCTTCGATTCTGACGCGGCAGGTTCCCGCGGTGATCGGAGGAGTTTAGTTTCACCTTGACGACGGTCGACCGTTCTTTCACGTCCTCTTCCTCACGGAATCCCTCGTTTCCAGGCTCCACGTTGAGGCGCCACATGTCCCGACCCGCGGGATCGTCAATGTAGGCCCTAGAAGAGGGAGTGGGAACTCGGGGGGACAAGAGACATGAGAAATGGAGACAAGACAGTATCCTGATCAAGTCTCGTTTATTGGTGGCAGTGTAATGCCTTATATAGACTGGCGGGGTGGAGGTTGGGCCAAGGCGATGATGGTGGCCCTGCAGTGGGTGTGGCCAGGTAGGTATTAGTTTCTTCTGTCGGACGTCATGTTGCGCCTGCGCCGTCGGTTGGTAATTTTCCCGGGCGCGGGATGGCGCCTGCGCTGTAAGTTGATCATTTTCCCGGGCGTGGGAAAATGGGTGATGAAGAACCTGGAAGAGCGCCATTTTGTACTGGCGTATGAGACAGCAGAACAAGGAAGAAAGTAAATCTAGGGAGGAGGCATAAAGTGGAAATGTATAGAGCTCAGGTGTCAGTCGTCAGTTATAATCGCTATGGCCGGGCCACGCAGCTCCGGACAGACTCTTGCACAGAGGAAAAAACTTATTTTCAAGCAGAAACTCACACAAAAATGTTTAAAGCAGCTTTATTCATAACAGCCAAAACCTATAAACTATGCAAATATCCTTTAATGGATGAATGGTTAAACAGTGCTGCATTCTGTGATTAAAAAGGAATAGACAATTCATATAGGCAAAAACTTTGATGAACTTCAAGGAAATTATGCTGAATAAAAAAAAATCCAATCTCAAAAGGATACACACTACACAATTTCATTTATACAGTATTTGTGAAATGACAGAAATCTACAGATAGAAAACAAGCTAGTTTTTGCCAGTGGCAAGGGAATAGATGCAGAGTTGGCAGCTAGAGATGAATTGTACCAGGGATCCCATGGTGACAGTACTGGAGGTATCTTGATTATGGTGTGATATGGTTTGGATCTGTGTCCCCATCCAAACCTCACGTTAAATTATAATCCCCAGTGTTGGAAGTGGGGCCTGGTGGGAGATGATTTGCTCGTAGAGGGGGTTTCTAATGGTTTAGCACCACCCCCCTAGTGTTGTCTTGAGATAGAGCTCTCACAATATCTGGTTGTTTAAAAACATGTGGCACCTCCCCTACTCTCTCTTCCTCTTCTTCCAGCCATGTAAGACATGCCTGCTTCCCCTTTCCCTTCTGCCATGATTGTAAGTTCCTGAGGCCTCCCTGAGCAGATGCCAGCATTATGCTTCCTATACAGCCTATGGAACCAGGAGCAAATTAAACGTCTTTCCTTTATAAATTGTCCAATTTCACGTATTTCTTTTTAGCTGTAAGAGAATGAAGTAACACTTGGTAGTAATTACAAAAATCTGTACAGGAGATACAATTGCATAGAGCTACACACACACACACACACACACAAATAGTTGCATGTTTAACTGGTGAAATCTGAATACCAGTGGTTTATACCAGTGCCAATTTTCTGGTATTAATGGGTACTATAATTATGTTAACATTGGTGAAAGTTGGACAAAGGATGCATGGGACCTTCCTGTGCTTTCTTTGCAATTTTGTAGAAATCTATAATTATTTCTAAATAAAAAGTAAAAACAACAAAATATAAAATGATGGCAATTAACTTTGGTGTTAGAACATGAGTAGACACATCAATGAAACCAAATAGAAATTCCAGAAACACATTTTAACATACAAATGATGAAGTAATATATGTTAATAATTTAAAAAGCAGCAACTCAACTTGGTGGAAAGAAAATTGACTGCTCTCTAAAGGTCTTGGGACAAATGACTAGTCATTTACAAAAATAAATCTAGATTCCTACTCAATAGTTAACAGAAATGAACTCCAAGTGGATGAAAAATTAACATACGAACAGAAACTATACAAGTACGAGAAAAAAATATGACAGATTTTTTTAAATAATCTAAGATGGAATCTGTCTTTCTAAGTAAAATTCAAAAATTTTAAGTTATGAATGCAGAGACATATATTTAATGACAAAAACAATTTTTTTAAAATGCTGGTGAAGTAGTCAGTCTCCAAGATGATCCTTGATAACTCTTGACATTTGGTATTCATACCCTTTTGTAGTCACCTCCCACATACTGTAGCAGGATTGGTCTGTGTGATCAATAGCATTGAAGCAAGAGAAATGGAACTGCTTTGACTGACTGACTGGCTAATGTTAAATGAAACCTACCTTCCTGGTGAGGGATTGAGTGGATTACTTTTCTGTGTGCCTGGCATTGTGGAGGGGCACAAATGTGCCAAAAGAATTGAGTCTATGCTACAGAGGGGAAAGGGAGATGAATTTTGGCAATCAAACAACACTCTTGACTGCAGTCCCATTCTTTCTGTTCCTTTTGTCTTCCCCTATTATTCAAAAGTGTTCGAAGGTTAGGGTTCTTATCAGAGTAGCAGCATACTTGGTGCAGTCCCTCAAATTCCCATTCCAACAACTCCCTAAAAACAGATACCAGTGGACAGTCAAGGTCCTTCTCAACACTTCAAAATTGAGGGTAAAGCCAGTAACATTATTTCTGATAGTATGTTATTCTATTATTTAGTAAGTTAATAAATATTCGCATAGTGGCTTATGATATGTCAAACACTATTTTAAGCATTTTTTAATATTAAAATGTTACCAGGACAGCCCTGACAAAATAGCTGGAAAAATTATTTTTCTTATTGTTTCTCTTTAGTCTCTCATTTACAGGCTCAGCTGCTTAAAGAAACCAGACAGTTCAGGTTGGCACCAGGGCTTCATGACCCCTGACCAGATACCGGAGGGAGATCATGTTACAGGATCCTTGGAGTGTGGCTTCGCCAGCCAGAAACTCTGTAGCCAGTGGCATCTTTGCCTGAGTTTTGCTTTCCATGGCAATGACTGGATGACCTGGAAGTTACTGCCTTCTTCCTAGGAATTTCTGCATAAACCACCCCTTAATTTGCATATAATTAAAAATCCCTGTTCCTACCTCAAGGAAGCCTACATGGAAGCACTTCCTAGAGCTTAACCTCTGGGCCCAGAGAGGTTAAGCAATTTGCCTTAAGTCACACAGCTGTTAAGCAGCAAAGGCAAGATTCACATTTCAGCTTCAAAATCATCGCTCTTTACCACTGAATGCTAGCTGCTGGCACCTCTGATCTATTTTTCAAGCTTCAATTTCCCCAATATGCTGTATAAATTCCTGAGGCTGTCTGTCTCCCTAGGGATCATAGAGGTTTCCATGCCTCAGCTATTGTAAAACTGCATATTCTGGCCAAGTCTAAAAATATCTCCCTATATTTGAGTTAATTCAAATGGGAAACTTTTAGAATGGAAAGTATGGGATTTTTTTCCTGTAACTCTAGATGCCTTTGTTCCCTGTAAGAATAAACTTGGAATTCATAAGTAAATTGATTAGCCAACACAAATATGCTCTTAATGATTCTGCTATTTAGTATCCAAGAGAATATTATAAACACCAGCTCTAGGAAGTACGTCCACGTAGGCTACCTTTTTAGAAATAGGCAAAATTCTCACATTTGTACTTTTTAATTAAACTTTATTTTGAGATAGCTGTAGATTCTCATGTAGTCAAAAATAATAATATAGAGAGATCCCGAGACAGGAACAGAGACTTGACTCCAGAGTCAGGGCTTGGACATGGAATCAAATTGAGGACTAGCTAAAATAGACACTAGGGGGAAGCAACTTTCCATAGGACATGGCCACCAGTGTGCCATGTCAATTTGCCATTGCCATGGCGACACCCAGAAGGTACCACCCTTTCCATGGCAATGACCAGATGACCTGGAAGTCACTGCCTTTTTCCTAGGAATTGCTGCATAAACCACCCCCTTAATTTGCATGTAATTAAAAGTCAGTATAAATATGACTGCACAACTGACTTTGAGCTGCTACTCCAGGTAAACTGCCTATGGGGTAGCCCTTCTCCATAAGGAGCAGTACCTGTGGTGCTGCTGTACACTGCCACTTCAGTGAAAGTTGCTGTTTAACACCTCCAGCTCACCCTTGAATTCTTTCCTGGGCAAAGCCAAGAACTCTCCTAGGCTAAGCTCCAATTTTGGTGCTCGTGTGCCGTGCATCAATCCCATCTCCTTTTTACCCAGTTTTCCTCAATTGTAACATCTTGCTAAACTGCAGTACAATATACAGCCAAGATACTGACATAGATACAGTCAAAAACCACAATATATCCTTCACCACAAGGATCCCTCAAGTTGTTCTTTTATAGCCACACTCACCTTCCTCTTATAAACCTCCTCTTTAATGCTTGGTAATACAAATGTATTTTCCATTTCTATAGTTCTGTCATTTCAAAAATGTTACATAAATAGAATCATGTATTTTGTAATTATTTGGATGTTTTCTCTTTATTCAACATAATTATCTGGCAATTCATCCATGTTGCACTTGCACGAATAGGTTTTTTTATTACTAATGTATGAGTTTGTTTTCATGCTGCTGATAAAGACATACCCAAAACCAGAACAAAAGGAGGTTTAACTGGACTTACAGTTTCACATGGCTGGGGAAGCCTCAGAATCACAGCAGAAGGCAAAAGGCACATCCTACATGGCGGCCACAAGAGAAAAATAAGGAAGAAGCAAAAGTGGAAACCCCTGATAAACCCATCAGATCTCCTGAGACTTATTCACTATCATGAGAATAGCCTGGGAAACACTGGCCCACCTGATTTAATTAACTCCCCCTGGGTCCCTCCCACAACATGTGGGAATTCTGGGAGATACAGTTCAAGTTGAAATTTGGTTGGGGACACAGCCAAACCAAACTCCAAATTTCATGTCCTCACTTTTCAAAACCAATCATGCCTTCCCAACAGTCCCCAAAGTCTTAACTAATTTCAGCATTAACCCAAAATTCCACTCAAAGTCTTATCTGAGACTAGGTAAGTCCCTTCTGCCTATGAGCCTGTAAAATGAAAAGCAAGCTAGTTACTTCCTAGATACAATAGAGGTA